AGGGTTCCGAGCCCGTGTCCCTGATCGGGAGCGCAGGTGGAGGCTCAGCCCCAGGGTTTGGCTCCTCGGAGCTCGGCCCTGCCGCCCAGCAGGGCTCGGTCCTGTGCGGGACTCCTCTTGCCGGGGATCAGAGGGAGCCTGGGGGGCAAAGTGTCTTTGCCGGGAGACGGAGAGAGGCCGAGTCGGCGAGTTTACTGGTAATTAATGCAGGAAAAATAGCCTATAAATAGAAGTTGAGATAACAGGCAAAGCACTGCAAGGTGAGGATGGTGGACCTTTTGGAAATGCCTTAAAGGTAGGAGGTACAGGTGGTGATAAATATGAGGTAATGCTCTGGACAGGCTGAAGTTTAACCTGTGTTTAAGAGTTACCATATATGTGGAAAGATTTTTATTTGGAAGTTTTTTATGACGGGTGTAAAGCGGGGTGAGGCCGTGCTGTGACAGGGTGATCCCGCTCTGGCTGTGTGCTCTTGACATCTCTGTCCTTCTGACACGATCCTCGCTGTCTGACTGAGAAGGAGCAGGAGAGGCAGCAGCCAGCTGATGCCAGCACAGGAGGTGGCAGGGAGAGCGGGACTGCCCCTTTCGGTGGCAGTGCAGGCTTAGTTTGCTTTAAGCTAGGCTTGAAACGGCACTTTCAATTCCCTGAGCGGTTTTGGGGTCCTAGTTTACCTTGGTAAAGCAAGGAATGCAAAATGAGTGACTCCCCGTTGCTTACCAACCCGAGAAAGGGTCATATTTTCACCTCTGCTCCAGTTTTTTAGCCAAAGCAGAAGAATGAGAATATAAAGTCTCCGTAGGAGAAACTGTTCCAACTCCAGTGTAGACACTAAGTGGTTGGGAAGGTCTCTGCTGTGCAGAGGGTGTGTCGGAGCAGGGGCACAGCACGCAAGCCTATGGAGATAATGGGCAGCCCAGGGATGTTTCTGGTTGTCCAATGTAATCCTTTTGCCCCTGCAGGGTCCAGAGCAGCCCGAGGTTTGGGTGATGTGGTCTGAAGAGCTGTGGCTCTCCAGCAGTGCCAGTTGTGTGCCTTTGAGAGACGGCACTGACGTTTGTCCTTGATGCGGGGAGGCCAGAGCTCTTCTGGCAGCTCTCCAGCACAGAGGGAGCACATTGCACACGACTCCTTCAAAACAAAACTTCTTTCTCTGAAGTTGCACACTCAGAGTCATCTCTCACCATTTCTCTAAGCAGATGTAGTGTGTCTGCTGCTGAAAGGGCCTAAGGCAGTAGGAATATTTATTCCCTCCCTCAAAGAAATTTGCTCCCTGAACCAGCTTATGAAGTCAGAACAGCACCAGTGCTTGTCCAGGGAAACACAAAGGGGTCTTATGGCTGAGGATAGAGCAGAGAAATGATAAACAGGAGGCCAACCTTTCCTGGGGTTGTAAATCTACTCACCTTATCCGTGTGTCTGAGCTGGCAGGAGAGCTGGATGCACATGAAACTCATTGAAATAACGGGGCTACACTACAATAAACCCCATGCAATGGGGAGAAGGACCTGTGGTGTGCAGCAAAAAGGAACCTCGGCTGTTAAACAAGTTTCAAGTTCCTAACCAAAGGAATACTGAGGGAAGGGAGGAGGAGTTAAGAAGCAAGACCCACCATATGGCCTGGGGAGTGAGAGCTGAAAAAGGTGGAAGAAACAGCTCCAGCAGGGACCAGAGCTATGTGACCTCCAAAGAAACCCACAAGGTTTGGAGATACCTGATGAAACAGATTGAGGATTATTCTGGATAACTTCAGTGCTGCCTGAATTGTAGTTCCAGTACCTTCTAGAAATTGTAATTAGTTTCATAAACTAGTGCAGTACTTCCCTAAGTATGGTTAATAAAAGAACTTACACATTTGAGACTGTAGAGTCTTAGACTTACACTATTTAATAAGAATAAATATAAGTGCAGAATGAAATATCTGTAGTTCATGAAGCACCCCAGCTGTATTTAGTTACTCTTCCTCCTGTATTGTCATATATTCTTTTCTGCATTAAAATAATAAAAAAAATCCCACTGCAACAGCTACAGTATTGGTTTCACTTTGAAAATTAAGCTGCATCATTTCATTCTGCTCGTGTGTGTCTCGCCAGAGCAGCTGCAGCTGTTGCCTTACTCACAGCCCTGAGTATGTTTTGCTGGTTTAATACAAACCCCTCTTGTTTGGCTTTTCCTCCTCCTCTTGCTTTAGTGGTGCTGTTCACACAGTTGTTAGGAATTGCATTTGACAGTCCCTCGTCGTTATGTTCCCTGAGTTATAACACAGAAAATGTTGCTCTTGGCTTAGAAATTTCTTGACACCAATTGAGTTTGAAAATACGAAAATATCTGGCAGTTTTTCTGATGCCTCAGATAAGAAATTGCCTGTGAGTCAGTATCTCACAAACCATCTAAAGGGTTAGAGGGGATTTAGATGAACGAGTAGTAGGAATTACTGTACTGGTCCAGGGAAAAGCACTCCAGGCTGGAAGGAGGGAAATGGAATAAAGCTGGAGGGATTTGGGGAGACAATCAGCAGCTTACAGGCCAAGGCTGGTTTGATGGATATGTAGTGATCCCCTGAGTTTAGAAGGTCTCTGTGCAAATTTTGGTTGAAGACTGTAGTGTTCCTCATTTAGAATATTCTGGAAGGGAAGTACTAGAAGGGATTATGTATTTTTAAAAAGTGTTGTTCAACTTTGCCTACTCTTTGCCTGGACCTTAAATCATGCAAGTTTTGTAAACAGCTGTAGCAGACTCTCTCTTTAAAAGCAGATTTTCTGACAGTTAAACACGGGTTGAGATAAAACTTGACCTGCTTCTCTGAGAGTTTAAGGGATTCACCTGTGCCATCAATGTGGCAGTTGTTAAAAGTCCTCTAAATCGTGGTCAGCCTTATCTGAAAAGTTCTCACTTATCTATTAGCCCAGGGCTGGGGGTTGATAAAGATGAATTCTTCTCACCTCATAAATGCTATTGCAGATCTCTAAATAGCAAATAAATAACTAAAGCAGTGCCTGCCCTGGGAAACTTCGATCTGAGGATTTCCTCTTTTACTGATCTCCCTTGGTAGTGAACAGAAACTGCCTCCTGATTATTTCGAGGATACATGAAAATACAGGGAATGAGTCTTCTGGGCCTTTTTGTCCTCGGGATAAAACGCACTTCCCGGGGAGTTTCACCCCAGGGCTACTTTGCTCCTACTCGAGGGCTGAAGAGTGGCCAGAGGAAGGAATTGCTTCCCCATTCCTGCCCCCAACGGGGCTGCGGGTCTTCACGGGTGGCTAGGGAGGAATGTGGCTGCATTGATGTGGGAACAGCTTTACTCTGTTGTCTCAGCTCATTGAACTGGCGGGACGGCCACACCCATTTTTAAATTAGTTTTAGAACAAGGGAAAATGTAATTATCAATTCACACACCCTGCAAATATGTGCCCAATACGGTGACATGACAGTGGGGTTTAATGTTCTGTTTCTGCATTGACAAAGCTCTAAATCAGGATAGGAATTGAAATAAAAACAACAAACCTCAAATCAAAAAAATGTGTTGCAGTTTTGTTTCCCCCAACTGTGAGGGTTGTTTCAAGTGAACAAGATATGCCAGGAGAAATTGTGCTATGAAAAGGCATCTGAAATTCCATGTGCAGCTGTAGTCAAGCTCCTGCACCAGTAATCCAGGTGTCCTAAGCAGCAGGTTGTATCTCAAGTCCTGTAAACCTGAACCATAACACTGGTCTGTATGTAATTCTTAATCCAGAGATTTTTATTTGGAGAGTTTTATTTCTGCTGTTTTGCTTATTTACTTCACCTGTGGTGAAGGACATTTCAGCTCCCGGTTGCAGCAGCTCTGCCTGCCCAGGGGCACTGGCAGGAGTTTAAGTTCACCTCAAACTTAGCTGCCGTTTGAGGAGACCTGCTCTAGA